ATATGATGTACCTATAGTACAATAAATTGTCAAATTAACTTCAACTTGAAATGTTTTTGTTGTGACACAAATTCCATCTATCTGTTAAGATGAAGATCGCTTAAGGGTTCTTAACAGGAGTCCTTTATTAATATAAATGACAAGGTTTTCAGACTGATCTTTTTCCTTGATATTGCTCCCACACCCAAAATATTCTCATGGGTCTTCACATGGAAGGAAAGAAACAGTCAACATCAGGTCAGCTAATGTAATATTCATGGACAATAGTACATGGTGAGGACTGTTGGGATTTTGTCTAGCACTGTACTGTGTATGGGTCCAAACGACTAAACATCAATCTTATTTGTGCATGAGCAGAGTTCTGTATATGTTCAATGAAGACAATCTTCCAAGAAAACAGGTCAGATCTGCTCTTAATTTCTTCAACACTCTACTATTTAACAACTGTCCAGCTCTCGAGAATGAGCTCTGCATACTTGTGACTACAATACTGGACTAAAATTGTAATTACAAAATTTCAAGTAAAATGTTTATGATATTATAATATTTTATCGTAATCTTCACATCTCCAAGAAAGAGCTAAAACTGCTGCCAGTGTGCTGTGGGAAGTGGGGTCAGCCTTGACCTCAACATGAGCAAAAATCATGTCAATATTCACAGCCACTAGCTAAGTACCTCAATTGCTGCTGAATTGTCAGGTCAGCTTCTGGAGTTGACAATCACAAAAGATTTGCACTCGTGTCCCTGCAGTTTATCAAGTTGTTAGTGACCTCTGCTGGTTGACATACAAATCTACAAGGCCAACATTACGCACATGTTGAAAACAACTGGAAATTACAACATAAATGGTCATTAAGTACAAGAATATTCTTTTGCGTATTTTTTAAAAATGCACCAACTATATCACCAAAGGAAAGCTGCAGCAAAGGGAGAGGCTATTTTAGTCCATTGATTCTCTATGGCTAGAAAAAAAACTAGCTGCCATTCTAATCTTTCAGCACCTAGTCTATAGCTTTGCAGATTACAGCACTTCAGGTGCAGATCTAAACTGCGCATCAAATTTCAGACACCCACCACCTCTGGGTGAAAATATTTTTCCTCACGTCCCCTCTAATCTTTCCTCCAATCCTCTTAAAATCAGCAGCCCCTAGTAACAAGCCTCTTTATAAGGGGAAACTGGTCTCTACTGTCTAGTCTATATAGGGCCCACATAATGTTTTACACCTCAGTTAAGTCACTCCTCAGCCTTCTCTTCTGAGGAAAACAACTAATTTATCTAAATTTTCCTCAAATCTGCAATGTTCAAGCCCTGGAGACATTCATAGGCAATGCTGAAAAACAACATTGAATCTTAGTGTAGAAACAGAGGCCATTTAGCCCATTGTGCCTGAGCCAGCTCTATTAAAGCATTATTCACAAAGTCAAACTCCCATGATCTTTCCTTAAAGCAAAGGTTTAGGTGACAAGAATTTGTGCAATTCCACTTTGTTCTTACAGAAACTCCTTCAAATTATAGTACACTTATTGTATCTAGCATATAGTACCTAAGTAATACTGCAACTAACAGATCAGATCTAGATTTTGCAGGCCTGCTACATGCAGTCATGAATGATAGAGGTCAATTAAGGAACAAACAGGAGGAGGCGGCTTAACAAATATCCCAACTCTGAAAGGAAAGGGGAGCCGAGGGTATCGGTGCAAAAGATAAAGCTGAAGCACTTGGCACTGCTGGTTTAAGATGGACGCATGCGTATGATCCATCTCAGTTTCCTCCGCAAGTCCCCAGCATCATATATGCCAATCTTCAACCAATTTAATTCACTCCAGATGATATCGTGAAACTGGATAGTGCAAAGGCTATGAGCCCTGATAATATACCAACAACAGTTCTGAAGACTTCGCAATAGTACTCCAGAACTAGCCAGCTAAGTTCCAATACAGTTGCAACATTAGCATTTATCCAGTATTATGCAAAATTATGGCCTAGTAACAAAATGCTGTGGACATGGTGGCATAGTAGAGGCATCACTGGACCAGAAACCCAGGCTAATGACTCATGAACATGGCTTCAAATCGCACCACAGAGCTGGCTGAATCTCAAGTCAAGTACATTCCAATAACAGTGATCGGAAAAACTACTGAAAGTCAAAATCTCATGATCTTGTTCTCTAATATCCTTCAGGGATAGAAATGTGTCATCATCAGCCACTCTAGCCTACATGTGACTCCAGATCAAAAGGTAAAATGGTTGATTCAATTAGGTACGGTCAAACAACATCAGCTTTGCCAGCGATGTCTCCATCCCATGAAAGAAAAAATTTAATCCAGCCAATTACCACCCTATTAGTCTACTCTTGATTATCAACAAAAATGACAAAAAGGGTCACAGAACATGCTATCAAGTGGCACTAGCTTAGCAATGACCTGTTCACCGATATTCATTTTGGGTTCTGTCAGAGCGAGAAACGGACAAGGCCTGAACTCGAAGGGTTAGGTGAGAGTAGCATGATGTCAAAGCAGTACTTGACCAAGTTGACATCAAGGATTCCTTGCAAAACCGAAATCAGTGGGAAACAGTGGTCATAATGGGCACAAAGGAAGATGGCTGTGGGCTATTCGAGCTCAATCATCTCATTCACAGAGCATCACTGCAGGAGTTTCTCAGTGCAGTACCCTCTGCACAAACATCTTCAACTCTTTTATCAATGAACTTCCTCACATTCGAAGTTCCTTAGAGTCTGTTCTGTCACTGTCACAGGGTCAATATCCTGGGACTCACGTCCTAACAGCACTGCGGATATCTCTAAACCCCAAAGACTGAAGTGGTTCATGAAGGCAACTCACCACCAACTTCTCCAAGACAATTAGGGAGAAGCAACAAATGTCGACCCAGCCAGCAACACTCACATCACATGAGCAAATGAATCAACATTACACATCATAAGTGGGAATTCTTGCCATGCATGTTCAAGGTACGGACTGACGCAACTATCTTAAATTCTGAAATAGAGCAAATAGGTTATTCATATCAAGTTATAGAACTAGTGCTTTCCAGATCACTACAACATACTGTGTAAAGGTTTTCCTCATGTGACTTCCAGTTCATTGGCCAACTAACTTCCAAATTCTTCCCAAGTAACCAAAGACTCTTACCTTTGGTAGCAGTCTTATGAACTCTTCCTGCACCATCTCAAACACCTCAACATCCTTCCTAAAGTGTGGTGCCTGTAACTGGACACAATGCTACAACTGAGGTCTAACCAATGTTTTATAAAGACTTCTAACGTAACTTCCTTACCTTCTGTATTGTTAGGCCTCTATTTCTAAAATCAGAAGATCCTAAATGCTTGAACTAACTTATCAACTTGTCGTGCCACATTCAAAGGCTTATACAGATAGCTCCATTTATACCCCCACATAATTCCATAACTTTCTGCAACCATTTTCCTCTACTGCAGTTATCAATATGGAGATCATTCAACAATTATGCCAAACAAATAGAACACCCATTCCCCGACTCTAGATAAAGCATCAAATTAGCTTGCAGAATTCCATATACTGGTCAAACTGGACATCGGCAAAGAAACTACTAAGTAACAAATTGTGACTTTGTGAGGAAGGATGCTCGTGCTCTCAAGGGAGTGCAGCGAAGATTTACTAACCGATTGTGGGGATTGTGGGGCTAATGTTTGAGGAGAGATTGACTAGGTCAGGATTGTTTTTGCTGGAGTTCAGATGAATGAGGGGATCTCATATAGACTCAAAATTCTAACAGGACTAGACAATGTAGATGCAGGGAGGATGTTTCCGATGGTGGGTGTGTCCAGAACCCAGGGGTCACAGTCTGAGGATTCAGGGCAGACCAGTCAGACGTAGATGAGGAGACATTTCTTCACCCAAAGTGTGGTGAACCTGTGAAATTCATTACCACAGGAAGTAGTTGATGACAAAACATTCTACTTGTATTAAAGACAATTTCTGCTATTCAATGGAAACTCCACAAAACAAGTGACTTCCAAAGAAAATAATAATTAAGTAAGCCAGATAATCTCCCATGATATCCTCAATGTTGACTCAGTGTGACATCTTAAGTGAGACAGGAAACAAACTATTGGAGAAATTGTGGGCTATTTTGCAGGCCTTTAATATCTCAAAGAATAAAATTTATATTAGAAACTGATTTGATCTGATCACTCATCAAAATTAGCTGCAGTCAAAATTACAAAAGCTATAAAATCATATGCTACTGCTCTTTATTCAGCATTCTATTTATACTGTATCTGAAGCAGAAAAGTTGAAACTGTAGCTGCAAAATTCATAATTACTTCGAAAAGGTTTTTCCCACCATTCTATTTTTACTTAATGATGTGCACATATCGTTAAAAACTAGTGAAGTCATTTTGTATTCATCCAATTGTATCCATCCAACGAGCGGTACAGTGGCCCAGTGGTTAGCACTGCTGCCTCACAGTGCCAGGGATCCCGAGTGACTGTCTGTGTGTTTACACATTCTCCCCATATCTGTGGGGATTTCTTCCAGGTGTTTCAGTTTCCTCCAACAGTCTAAAGATTTGCAGACTAGGTGGATTAGCTATGGGAAGTGCAGGGTTACAGGGAGATGCTATGTAGCTGGGTCTGGGATGCTTTTTGGATGGTCGGTGTGGACTCGATGGGCCAAATGGCCTGCTTCCACAATGTAGGGATTCTAATAACTTTGCCCCCTCTACATTTTCTGAATCTTAGGGCTTCCATTTTGCTCTTTCATTGAAGTTTGTACTGTCCATCACACATTGCATTGTTATATTTTAGGGCTCAGCTGTTCACTTCCCTTGCTCAAACACTTAAAGATTGAGTTGAAGGATTGTTCTATCTGCAACCCTAAGTTTGTTCCTACTTTGTTGTGGCCAATGTTCCAGTTACAAAACGTTACAAGTATTGAATTGTGATACTGCAAAACAAATCATAAATCATCCTAACCTTTAGTGTTGATTGCTACTTACATAGAAGTAATAAACCTCCCATTAACGAAATGCAGGAATATAAATAAGGAAGATAAAATTCCCAAAGATCTGTAGGTAGGAAGAAACAGGAAAAACAAATATTTAGTGAAATGCATGTCCTTCAAATAGAAAAAGATGTCTGTAAACTGAGCACTGTGAAAAGTACAAAGAGCCACAATTATAAAATTAAAATGAAAAATGTGTAATTAAAAGTAGCTCTAACAGCAATAAGAAAATAAATGGATTAGCAAATTGTCACAGGCTTTAATTGGAAACCAGTCATTATCATAGTTTCCAATCGAAACACTTGGACATATTTATTTAGTTTGTAATAATCATTTTGTTAAATTAAACTAAACAAATCATAAATCTTTCAATGAGCACTCAACATTTAGCTGTCTTATTTACAAGGGATTCCCATTCCTCATTTTGAAGATTTGTCCTGAAACTTACTCAGACTACTTCAATGACTGTTCACTGCCTGGTAGCTCAATTTCTTCCAGAAACTATTTCACTAAATTCCTGTCACTATACTCAAGCACCTACTCACAACCACAACACTAGATGTTTTCTCACAGGCAGTTAGCTTCACTAAACTAGCACTGCCTCAAGTACGAGGTACTCCAGAATCTCTGAGCTGCACCAAGCAAAGACTTCTTGTGGGTTTCCTTCACTCACACTCTAAGCTACCAAATGACTCCTTAAAATCTCTGCTGGCAATAACTGCTACTCAGCCCCTTCTCCCAAGACTGCATGACACGGGGCTTTACAATGCTGCACTTCAACATCTAACTGCTGTCAAAGTATCAGCAACCTATCTACTCCAAGCAGATCTCGAACACCCACCAACTATCTTTTCCCTCAATTACATGGAATCAGCTGATAGCAGCACCAGTCACATTCTCTTCCTCGCTGACCGACAAACTGACAAACTGACTACTGAACTGCTGTTTAATGATTCTTGAACTGTTTTGGGTGATCTCTTAGACTACTCCAAGGATGATATCCTTATTATAAGAATAATTAATGCAGCATTGGACAGAACATCCTATACCTTGTATGTTAAAACATTTAGCTAACTTCTTTATGACTGCCTATATCAGAACACACACACACACACACACACACACACACACACACACACACACACA